CCCCTTATTCCAAACTTGAAGCTCCACCCCCTATGCATCACCTAGCCATTGATAGCTATGATCACACCTAACACGGTGCTAGTATAACTTTGTTATATACATGCTGAGATCTGATGATATGAGATTAGAGCCAGGGGACACTGATGGGAATATTATTGTGACTTTATCATATCACAGTAGGTGTGTTCCTGCTCATATAGCTCCCCTGTAAAAAAAAAAAAAAAAAAAATGAAACCAAATGTAAAAGAAAGATCTTCCACCCGATTAGTCTTCAGTTAATAAAACAGAACCATTCCAATGAACCCGAGTTTGGATTCTTTTCCAAAGAAGGGTTAATAGGGGAAAAAAGTTTTTAGAGTTTTGCTGGTCTTGCAAACCTAATCCAAAAGCTTGTTTTTTTTGGTGACCACATCTATGACCACACCAATGAGCCAGTGATATGTTTTAAAACTCATCACTGCAGCTCCTTTGCAGCCAGCAAGCTGACACAGCGAAAAGGTTTGATGGGGAACACCAAAGGGTATTGCGTAGCATCCTTCCTTGGCATGTTTGCCTACGCTTAATCACTGCAAACTTGAACATAGCTTATGAAATATTTATAAGATGTGTTGCCTTGAGTTTCAAAGTCAGCAGGTGCTCGGGAGTAAGAGCTGGATGGGCTGTAGCACTTGGGTGTCCTTGCTGCGGTGCAATGAAATTCCAGCACTTAACATAGCAGTCAGGGAACTGTAATACATCAATAGTGGGCACCTGTTGATTCCCATGGCAATAAGAAACCATAAATCTGCACCACACGGCCTGAAATAGTGTAACAACAGCATTAAATCTGCCACTTATGGTTCAGTGACAGCTAAAGATTATCACTTAACCCTCTGCACACTGCCATACTCCCTCCTAGCAAAATCTTGCAGTAAATCAGGATTTTAATTTCTATATAGTGCAATATGTGGTCAAGCTGGCCAACTGCATCAAAGTGATATATATCTGGTCATTCCTCACTCAACCAGCAAAATGGAAATACTTACATGCCTCTAGCATACGTTTAGGGTCATATTGCATCAATATGGGGTAAACTAAATGCAAATATTGCAATATGTATTCAAGCTGGTCAGCTGAATTCCATATGACTCATCTCTGGTCATTCCATACTCAGCCAGCAAAATGGAAAATACTTACATGCATCTTGCATACTTTTAGGGTCATATAGCATCAAGATGGGGGTAACTAAATGCAAGTATTGCAATATGTGTTTAAACTGGTCAGCTACATCCATGTGACACATCACTGGTCATTCCTCACGCAACCAGCAACATGGAAAATACTTACATACATCCAGCATAGGGTTCTATTGCATCAAGATGGGGGTAAACTAATTGACCAGCTTAAATGTGTTTAAGCTGGTCAGCAGCATCTATGTGATCCATCTCTGCTCATTTTGTACTCAGCCATCAAAAAAATAAAGAAAACCTATACATCTAGCATTCTTTAGTGGTTATATAGTGTGAATATAGTTTAGCATGATTGCATATGTTGCAAAAGATTCAAGCTGTGTCAAAGTCGTGCTTCTCTGACCAGTCACTACTCAACCTGCAAAATGCAACAATACTTATAGGTACCTAGTGTACTTTAGCGGTCCCATAGTGCCAATAAGGTGTAAACTCATTACATGTGTAAGGTGTATAGTGCCAATAAGTTGTAAACCCATCACATATAATGCAATAGATGTTCAAGCTGGCCAGCTGTGGCAAAGCGATCTGTTCTCTCCATACTAAATCAGCAAAATGTAAAATACTTGCACCCGGTACACCTTGGTGGTCATATAGTGCCAACATGGGCTAAACTTATCACATATATTGCAATACATGTTCAAGTTGCCTGGCTGCGTCAACGAGATCTGTGTCTTGTCGTTCTACACTGTATTAGTAAAATGTAAAATACATTCATGCATATACCTTGTTGGTCATATAGTGCCGAGATGGGCTAAACTTATGACATATATAGTTCAAGCTGGTTAGCTGCATCAAAGTGATCTTTTTCTTGTCATTTCATACTAATCAGCTAAATGCAAAATACTTAGATGCATCTAGCATACCTTAGTGTTCATATAGTGCCAAGATGGGCTAAACTTATTAAATATATTGTTCAAGTGGGCCAGCTGCATCAAAGTGATCTTTTTTCATGTCATTTCATACTAATCAGCTACTAACTGTAAGATATTTACATGCACCTAGCATACTGATGGCCGTATAATCCCAATATGGGATAAACTTATTACATATATTCCAGCTGGTCTGCTGTATTAAATTAATCTGTTTCTTGTTATTTCATTATAAATCAACGAAATGCAAAATACTTACCCCCACCTAGCATACCTTGGTGGCCATATAGTGCCAATATGGGCTTGAGTCATTGCATACATTGTAATACACGTTGAAGCTGGCCAACTACATCAAAGTTATCTGTTTCCAGTCATTTCATACTAAATCAGCTAAATGCTAGATACGTACCCGCACCTAGCATACCTTAGTGGCCATATAGTGCCAACATGGGCTAAACTTATCACATTTATTGCAATACATGGTCAAGCTGCCCAGCTGTGCAGTAATATATTTGTGGTCACTCTATGCTAAATCAGCTAAATGCAAATTACTTACGTGCACTTTGCATACCTTAGTGGCCATATAGTGCCAACATGGGGTAAACTGATCACCTACATTGCAATACATGTTCAAGCTGGCCAGCTGTGTAGGGATATATTTGTGGTCACTCCATACTAAATCAGCTAAATGCAAAATGCTTACGTGCACCTAGCATACCTTGGTGGTCATATAGTGCCAATATGGCTTAAACTCATTGCATATATTGCAATGCATGTTCAAGCTGGACAACTGCGTCAAAGACCTTGGTCTCTGACCAGTCCCTACTCCCTACTCCCTACTCCGCCAGCAAAATGTCATAGACATACATGCAGCTGGCTACTTTAGATATGGGGTAAACTGACACAGCTAAAGGGTCTAGCCACTAAAAAAAAAAAAAAAAAAACTATTTATCACACCCAAAAACATACA